TTTCTGAAAACTTGTGGAAGCCACCTGACAGATGCAAAAGCAGACAGGCACCGTACAACTTCTGGAGGCTCAAAAGTAACATAAAATACTCCATCCAACAAGCTTGGCTCACAAGTCAGAGTTAGGAATAAAGCAATACTACCACATTCCCAGGGCATTTTAATCCTCACTAAGATAAACTAGTTGGATAAAAAATGTCTAGCAGGAAAATCTACTCAGATGTCAAAAATTATAAGTGAAATCACTACCTCAATTTTAAAAATCACTAATCAATCAAAATAAAATGCAAAACTTGTCCAGACTAAAACAAACCCAAAAAGAATTATGAATTATATTTTTAAAAACTGCTTGCAAAGCACATGCTTTCCTGTTAAGTATTCTACTTTATTTTAAACACTATAATCTCAACCTAAAAGAAGAGCTAGCCCTCATTCTCTTTAACTTCACTTTATTCGTGGAAATAGATACAAGGAACACACATGGTCTCTCCTTTAGCCTGGGCTGTGCTCTGATTAAGTCAAGAAACAGCTTCCAAGAGTGTGGGGGGTCAGGAAGAAGCCATCTAAAATGAGCATGCACCTGGATCACTTCCAAGATGACACTTATTTAAGGCCTATAGTCTCCATTTGAGAATTTGAGGAAATGAATTTTTACAATAGCATGGAAAGCCAACCAGAATATAAAAGGCCAGTTCATAATATTCATCCTTTTCTGTATTACAGAAATTGTACCAGTGAAATTTTGTTTGTAAAATGCAATGTCCATTTTCTCCTCTTGGATAAAATACCTACAGCCTCGGTGGTGGTTAAATTGCAGCTATAAAGGAAATTGTCCTGAGATAAATGGTTTCCCTATGAGAAGGTTTCGCTGCTACACTTCACCTCAGGACAATAAATCAAATTAACTGCACCTTGTCCTCTGTCCAGTGACATCATCAGTTTGACCACATCTTGGGAATCTGGTGCAAAAACATATGCTACTTAAGGCAGGAAATCATAGTCCTGCTTTTTGTCCACCTGACCTCAAGCTTCAGATCTCTGAAACAGTCATTCACCTGAACAGTCTGGTGGAAGCCACAGATTTTTTTTCCCCTGCTGCATTTCGGGGCCTGCCTACTGGAGGTTAAAGAAGAAAAACGGTAAGAACTGGTTATTTTAAAATGGCTTTAGCCCATTAAATCTAGATATTTGTTACAAATTAAACTGAAAATCAAAGTCTCACCAAATCTGTATCTAGCAACTGACCCTAAAAGGCCTTAACATAATTTCAGAGGTTTAACACATCAGTGTTTAACAACAATTCTGATACTTTCCTCTCCCAGCCTGGGAAAAAACCCCATGAGAAGCAACAACATGATTTTAAAAACACACTACGACTATACAAAATAAAATGGAGGAAAAACTTCATCAAGCCAAAGACCAAAATTCAAAATTACTGTTTCTTCTACATAGTTGAAATTAATCTGCCTTTTGCCGACCAACTGTCCCAAACCTACATAGAACAAAATCAATTCTGACAATTTTAAGAAGAGGAGGCGGGTGTGCTGGGAGGGTGGTAAGTTCAGAGATGAGGGTGGACACAATGACAGTGTTTATTCCTCCATTTTACTCATTTAATCATGACACAAACACTCAAAGAAAACAGAACCCCATTTCTGTTTTCGGGAGTGCTCCAATGAAAATAAGCAAATCTGTGACAGTGACAGCACAAAATTAGTATCAGCCCCATTTTAAATTCCAATAAAGAGGTTGAAAAGGGAGCGCAGCCCTGAGAAGTTCTGAAAGTGCTATAAATTAGGATTTATAAAATACTTAGCTATTCCCCAACTGGGAAAAAAAAAAAAAAAAAGATTGGTTTCAAAAATCCTGCAGATCCACCTTTAAGTGTTTAATTTGGGGGTTGGAGCCAGAGGGCAAGGGGCTCCACCAAAACAAAGTGAAACCCTAAAAGGCTTCATTTAGCCTCTGAAAATAGGACAGTCCCCCTTCCTCCCCCGCCCCCCTTAGGCCCAATATTACTGCACACTGTAGGAAAGTCTTCTTAAGAGAAAACAGAACAAGGCAGAGTTAATGCTCAGCTCGGGGCTGTGGGAAGGCTGGTGAGGCCTCGGAGGGTCAGCTGTGCCCGCGGAGGAGGGGGTGCGTGAGGACTGGGTGAGGGGAGTCATTTTGGTTATTAGTAAATAAATCAGGCGGCAGAGAACATGAGGCCTAGGCAACTGCAGGAGGAGCCAGGCCTCGCTCCTCCTTCTCTTCCCGGCACAGCCTGGGTTTGATCTCAGAGCCCTGTGGATTGCCAAGGAAAAAAAAAAAAGAATCATATCGAACCACAAAAGCACATGGGGCGAATGTAAAATATAAACACGGCGTTGGGCTGTGAGTGGCTGTTATTAAAGGTCTGAATTACTAAACATGAGAGGCGGGGAAAGCCAGGCGGCCATTTCAATAATATAAACCTCCCCGAATTAGACATTATTCAAATGAGAGAGGATCCGCGCAGCGGCGAGCAGGGAGGACCCAGCCCCCGGCGGGCAGACGCGGC